ATCTCACCAATACCAAGCCGCATACCTGTAGAGTGTATGATGCAAAACAAGACAAACGACACAACAAAATACACACCGAGAAGAGTGAGAAGACAAAAGTCCCTTCCTACCTATGTAATAAATTACCTTATGCCTTAGCCTACCTATATAATAAATTACCTTATGCATTAACCTACCTATGTAACAAATTTCTTAATGCCTTAGCCTACCTATGTAATAAATTATCATATGTCTCAGCCTACCTATGTACAATTAATTTAGCTAATTCTTATGTAGAAAGAAAAGAAGGAGTAAAACAGAAGAAACAACACTGTCATACAAACAACGTATGTGTGTACTGTGTATGTATGCAAAAGCAGCCGACAAGAGCTTTCTACCACACCACGTCACAAAACCCACCGCTAGAGAAACAGCAAAAAATAATTACAGCAGAACAAAACACAAATAAAATAACTAAAAATAAACAGAAAAGAATCAGAAAAAATGCAGAAAAGAAGAAAACAGCGAAACCAATATTAACGCTAACAGAAGAATACTTATCTTAATTTTGTGCCGATCATCTTGACAACGCATCACTGACAAAATGCGCCCAAAAAATCTTTGAGCACATCTTCTGACGATGATACTCCAATCCATCAGACCGTAGATGTAGGACATCATGCTCTGAAAATAATTTTTCATTGCTCAATTTAAAAAATTAGTTATAACCACATGAATTAATCACATTAAGTGTAGTAACAAGTAAAAAACTACTTAAATTATACCAATCTCACCAATACCAAGCCGCATACCTGTAGAGTGTATGATGCAAAACAAGACAAACGACACAACAAAATACACACCGAGAAGAGTGAGAAGACAAAAGTCCCTTCCTACCTATGTAATAAATTACCTTATGCCTTAGCCTACCTATATAATAAATTACCTTATGCCTTAGCCTACTTATGTAAGAAATTTCTTAATGCCTTAGCCTACCTATGTAATAAATTATCATATGTCTCAGCCTACCTATGTACAATTAATTTAGCTAATTCTTATGTAGAAAGAAAAGAAGGAGTAAAACAGAAGAAACAACACTGCCATACAAACAACGTATGTGTGTACTGTGTATGTATGCAAAAGCAGTCGCCAAGAGCTTTCTACCACACTACGTCACAAAACCCACCGCTAGAAAAACCACAAAAGATAATTACAGCAGAACAAAACACAATTAAAATAACTAAAAATAATTTAAAATAAGCAGAAAAGAAGCAGAAAAGAAGAAAACAGCAAAACTAATATTAACGCTAACAGAAGAATACTTATCTTAATTTTGTGCCGATCATCTTCCAACATGTCAACATGTCAGACTATTCACTGCAGGACAACATGACCTCCAAAGAACATTCGTCTTAACAATCTTCCGACGATACCCCACCAAGCTATCAGACCATTAACTGTCGAACGACATGCTCTGATTTTTAATAGCTTTATTAATAAATTATTTATAACAACTTCAAATAATAACATTGAACGTAGTAAGATAAAACACAAAAAGTAAAAAAAAGACTTGAACCAGTACCAATTTCACTAACGAAACGAAAACAAACTAACAAATGTGAGAAAACAAAAGTCCCTACCTACATAAATTATCTTACGCCTTGGCCTACCTATGTAATAAATTATCTTATGCCTCAGCCTACCTCACGTAGAGAGAAACAGAAAAAAAACAGAAGAAAAAATACTGCAATACAAACAAACATTGTATGCGTGTACGTACGCACGAGCAGCCGCCAAGAGCTTTCTACAACACCCCGTCACAGAACTTCCCTCTAGAAAAACCACCGAAAATTAACTACAACAGAACAAAAATACAAATAAAACAATAACAAATATTTAAAGAAAACCAGAAAAGAAGAAAACTGCAAAACTAATATAAAGGCTAACACAAAATACTTATCTTAAACCTGTGCCGTTCATCTTTCAAACCGTCAAACTATTCACTGCAGGACAACATTTGCTCAAAAAAACACTCGTGTTAATTTTCTGACGATGATACTCCAAGCCATCAGACCATAACTGTAGATCATCATACTCTGAAAATAATTTTTTATTGCTTTATTAATAAATTATTTATAACCACATGAATTAATAACAATTAGTGTAGAAAAAAAGTAAAAAAATTAGTTAAACCAGTACCAATCCCACCAATACCGAGCCGCACCGCACCGCATACCTGTAGAGTGTATGATGCAAAACAAGACAAACGACACAAAAAAAAACACACCGAGAAGAGTGAGAAGACAAAAGTCTCTTCCTACCTATGTAATAAATTACCTTATGCCTTAGCCTACCTATTTAATAAATTACCTTATGCTTTAGCCTACCTATGTAATAAATTACTTTATGCCTTAGACTACCTATGTAATAAATTATCATATGTCTCAGCCTACCTATGTACAATTAATTTAGCTAATTCTTATGTAGAAAGAAAAGAAGGAGTAAAACAGAAGAAACAATACTGCCACGCAAACAATGTATGTGTGTATGTATGCAAGAGCAGTCGCCAAGAGCTTTCTACCCCAACACGTCATAAACCTATCGCTAGAAAAACCACAAAAAATAATTACAACAGAACAAAAATACAAATAGAATACCTAAAAATAATTTAAGGTAAGCACAATAGAAGCAGAAAAGAAAAAAAACAACGAAACCAATATTAACGCTAATAAAAGAATACTTATCTTAACTTTGTACCGATCATCTTCAATACCGTCAAAATTTTCACTGCAGGACAACATGCGCTCAAAAAAAAAATCGTCTTAACAATCTACCGACGATCACCCTCCAAGCCATCAGACCATTGACTGTAGGATAACATGCTCTGAAAATAATTTTTAATTGCTCTATTAATAAATTATTTATAAAAACTTCAAGCAAAAAAAGAAAACAGCGAAACCAATATTAACGCCAATAAAAGAATACTTACCTTAATTTTGTGCCGATCATCTTCCAAATAGTCAGACTATTCACTGCAGGAAAATATGCGCACAAAAGAACACTTGTCTTAACAATCTTTAACGATTTATTTAAAACTTATCAAACGCAACTTAATACAGCAACCGAATGTTCCTTTATTAATTTTAATTATTATAAAAAAATTAAATTAATATTAAAATTAAATAAAAACTAAGCCTAAACTACTTAGAACAAAATCATAAACGACTAAAACTTGAGCTTTTCAGTCGGTATTTATAGGCTTCTTTCCATACATTCTTATCAGCGTATATTCCAAGTCATTAATTAAATAATGAAAAACTATGAATACATATTTTAAGACCTCCTTTTAACGCTGATTGGTTCAAAAGTATAAATCACGCCATAGTGCTGTTAAGTTTGTAGGAAGTAAAAAATTTTTGACAATCCTTCTTTAAAACGTGTTTACTAATTGTAGTTCACTAAAAAAAAAAATAATATCACGTGCCGTGATTTTTCTGTCAGAGGTAGAAAATCTGTGACCATCCTTTTAATAAAACGTGTTCAGTTCACTATTTGTAGTTGTAACTACAATTTGTAGTTTCAACTACTACGCAATTGTACACGTTCGGCTTGCCAACCAGAAAGCCATTAAACATTTAAAGTAATAATAATAAATATTGCAATCCTAAAAAATACTGTTGTACTATTATTATTATTCATACTACAGAAGCGCGTTACTAACAGTTTGTTACATGTATATACATGTACTGGCCGTACATATTCGTGCACTGTTTTCTTCTGTTGCTTTTATTTATTGTTAATCAGTAATTAAAAACTGATTAATATTGTTAATTAATCAAATATTCATATGCATCTATGTACGTGTGTCAAATTAATTTAGATATATAATTCACATTAATTTAGATATCTGCTAGTACGAGCGTTCTGCTATTAACTTTATTCTAAGGTGAATCTCGGACCGTCTCGTTTACAAGCTCCCGGGAAAAAGTAAAGAAGATTGAGAGAGAAGCAAAGAAACAAAAAATAACATAGACTAAGTAGCATTGAAAATTGCAATAATATTTAATAATAATTAATATATAAGATAGTCAATAAATAAATGATTGATCCCTACATATCTAATTGAATGTAAAATTACAAATATTAAGTAGCAACATAAACATGTCAATTCCAGTGAATGATATAAAGGAGTGTGCGCGCGTCTGTAATTGTTGAAATTTATACGTTCGAATAACAAATTTTTCAAACTATATCATATAAATAAAATAAATCAGAACTGCTACCATTCCTGTAAGTAGTAATGGTAGCAGTTATGATACAGGTAGCAGTAATATAAGCAGAAGCAGTAGTAGCAGTAGCAATTTTTTAGTATTGCAGTAATACATACATAAGATGTATGTTAATACTGGTTGGCATAAATGTGCACGTTTTGTCAAGAGATTGTTAAAAAACTACGTTAAAAATCTCTCAACGGAAGAGAACACCAGTCAAGTTGTGCAGTAGTAGTAGTAGCTCGTACGCGTTTCTTTTCGCTTGATAAATTTTAGCAGCCGTAGTAGTAGTAATACTGATAGTTGTAGTAGTAGTATTTTTTAGTAGTATTATAGTTAATACCTAAAATGTATGCCGGCATGCCAATGGAATGTGGCTGGCATGCCGAACGTGTACGTCTCCGTAAAAAAACCTAATTTTTTGCGTACGACTTATAGCGCCTTAATAATTTTATTTAAAATCTTATACAATAAACCATAATAGTAATTTTAGCAGTAGTAACAATATTTGTAGAAGTAGCATACAAATAGCATACTGGCGTTTAAATTTTTCTATAATTCCAATGTGGTTTAAATTTCAAATTACATATATGATTATCATCAATCAATCAATTAATCAATTACCTTGTAAAGCGCTATTTCCGCGATGTTCAACAGCGCTCTTCAATGAATTTTGAAAACAGATGGGTCTTGAGATCCGATCTGAACTTTGTAAGTGATGGAGAAGTAGTCAGAGATGTAGGTAGAGAGTTCCAGAGAAAAAGGCCAGAAAAAGCAAAAGCAGATTTGGCAAGTGTTTAGCACGAGTTAAGAAGAAGCGAAAACAAAAAGACGATGGTAAACAGGGGCATTTAAGTTCAATTAATTTCTGATAAATACTTAGAAAATAATTTAGATTGAGACTAATACATAAAAGTGCAAATTTTAAAAATTATTCTATCTTTTAAAGGTAGCCAGTGCAAGAGAACAAGATATGGAGATATACGAGAAAAGAAAGGGGCACGAGCAACTAGACGAGCAGCAGAGTTAAAAGCTTTACTTAAAGGATAGAGTATAGAATCACTGAAAGCAGACACTTATTTTGTCAGAATCGTCATCTTTTCATTTGAAGACGAGCATGAACATATAAGATGAATATGAACACAAATATAAACTAAAACATGAAAATAATTTTTAATTGCTTTAATAATAAACTATTTATAACAACTTGAAATAATCACATTAACAACAAGTAAAAAAAATTCTTAAACAATACATTAACTTCCATAAGGTAACGAACGATTTCTTGTGACTATAAAATATAAATTGTTGTTAATTCAAACAAATCGTAAAAATGTATGACTTGATGTGAAAGTTAAAATACGTAGTGCAAATTTTCAGCTTCAACACCTGTAAACAAATTATTTTGACTATTGTAAAAAAGTGTTTGCAAATGATTCCTAAAAAATAAATTTTACCAAATATTAGCCGACATCAAACAAAAATTAATTCTATAAAACAGAATCAAACAGAAATTAAGAAATGAACAAGATAGTATCATAAAATGAATTAAGAAACTTTATAAATTTTGAAAAATTATCAATTTGATTCCATTGATTGCGATATCGATGATGATGATTGTGACTGGACTAATTAAAAAACATTAAAGAAAACTAGTAAAATATAATGGGCCATGCGTTACAAAATCGTTTGAGGAAATGACTTAATGCTAACAGTAGATATATTACGAAAGGACGATCAGCCATTGACAAAGTTGCATGTTAAGAGACTTACATAAGAACGCTAGAAACTAGAGCTTTTCAGTCTGTATTTATAGGCTTCTTTCCATACGTTCTCATCAGCGTATATGCCAAGTCATTAATTAAATAATGAAAAACTATGAATACATATTTTAAGACCTCCTTTTAACGCTGATTGGTTTGAAACGAAAAATCACGCCATAATGCTGTTAGTTTGTAGGAAGTATACAATTTTTGACAATCCTCCTTAAAAACGTGTTTACAAATTGTAGTTCACTAAAAAATCACGCAACGCTCTACAGTTCAACGCTTTAAATTTGTCAAACTCTTTAAATGGACACATAGGCTGAATTTCGACACGTAAATATTCCAAATACTTTAGAGACTATAGCAAACTCAGCAACTATCTTTCGAAATTTTCAGAAACAATTTTCTTCTCAGCAACATTTCAAACTTTTTACAGATGAAATTCATTTTTAAAATAGATAAATCAGTTTCAAACAAAAAAACTGGAAGTACGAAAGGACGATCAGCCATTGACAAAGTTGAATGTTAAGAGACTTACATAAGAACGCTAGAAATTCTGATATCTAAAAACAAGAAATAATTCTGGTAAAAAAATATTTGCTAAACCTTATAAAACTCTTCAAAACTCGATAAACTTAAAACACTGTAAAACATTGTATAAGTTTATAAAACACTGTAAAATTGAGTTTTACAGCTTCACAGTGTTTTACCCTAACCCTTGAGGGTTCTACCCTAGCCCTTAGGGGCTTTACAGGGTTCATAGAAATGTACATTTTATAGAATTTCATAGTTATACAGAGTTCAATGGATTTATCGAGTTTGTTAGAGCGAGTTTGTTCGTCAGCAACTGTAAATATTAAACTTTTGAGAAACAATGTCATATTCGACAACTATATTTCAAGCAGAGTGAGTTCAACAGAGTTTTATTGAGTATTATAAATTTTTATAGAGTTTAATATTTTTCAAACTTTCCAGAAACAATTTTATCTTAAACATTATACAAAACACTTCAGAAACTAACTTTGAAACTCTTCAGAAACCATTTTCTCATCAAGCCCTTCAGCAACTATTTTCATTGCAATGATATTTCAATTTCCTTAGGAACAACAGCAAGCGATCTTTCTAAACAATCGTTCACTCGTCAGCAAAGATTTATATATAAATAAATAAATAATATCAAACTATCATGAACAATGTCATATTCCATAACTATATTTCAAACTCATCAAAACAAAACTACAACTTTTTTTCCGAAACTATGGCACGTTCTTCAGCAACTATCTTTCAAACACTTCACTCGCCTTATTAAACTCCATAAGACTCAATTAAAGCTTAAATTTAAAACTTATCAAACGCAACTCAATACCGCAACCGAATGTTTCTATATTGAATCTAACTATTAAATTATTATAATAAATTAAATTAATATTAAATTAAAAACTAAATTTAAACTAAACTTAAAATAAAATCATAAACGACTAAAACTAGAGCTTTTCAGTCTGTATTTATAGGCTTCTTTCCATACGTTCTCATCAGCGTATATGCCAAGTCATTAATTAAATAATGAAAAACTATGAATACATATTTTAAGACCTCCTTTTAACGCTGATTGGTTTGAAACGAAAAATCACGCTATAATGCTGTTAGTTTGTAGGAAGTATACAATTTTTGACAATCCTTCTTTAAAACGTGTTTACAAATTGTAGTTCACTAAAAAATCACGCCACGCTCTACAGTTCAACGCTTTAATTTTGTCAAACTCTTTAAATGGACACAGAGGCTGAATATCGACACGTTGATATTCCAAATACTTTAGAGACTATGGCAAACTCAGCAACTATCTTTCGAAATTTTCAGAAACAATTTTCTCTCAGCAACATCTCAAACTTTTTACAGATGAAATTCATTTTTAAAATAGATAAATCAGTTTCAAACAAAAAAACTGGAAGTACAAAAGGACGATCAGCCATTG